CGGCAGCCCCGGGCGGAACGTGGCGGTTCCCACCTTCACGCAGGGCCGAAATACGCTTTCAGGCCCAGGCTGGGGCGCGCCCGCGGAGGGGACGGAGGATGTGGGCCCACGAAGCCAGGCGGCGTGGAGGCATTCTCAAAAGGACGGTCGCTGGGCCGCCTAGATCAGAACCATCTTGGAGGAGAGAGGAGAGAGGAGAGGGCTTCTTAAAAATGCAGATTCCTGGCGCCCCGCCCCGCCCACCCACTTGCTGAATCTGCATTCCTTAGGAGGGTCTCCAAGTCTGCACTTTTCATGAGCTCCCCAGGTCTTTTTCATGCGCAGTGAAGTGTGGGACCCCTGCCTTGCCATTCCCCGGGTGAGGGAGTCTCTGCGCTGCCTGCCCCAGGGCACGCACCCGCTGCATCTCTGTGCTCCCACGCCCCGTGCCAGTCCCACTGCCGTCAGTCCCTTAAGACGGCCCCTCTGCCGGGTCTACGTCCTGTGTCCCCACGTTGACCCTGTGGGTGTCCCTCGGTGTCTGCTCCCGTCCCACCCTTTGAGAACTGGCCCCGGCACTAACCTGTTGGGTTAGAGGGGAGGGAGGGCAAAGAGGAGAACCCACCAGTTTTCAGGGATATGGCAAGGAGAAGCAGGAGACTGGCCCTGCTCTCGTCCCCCACCCCCTTTCCAAATACTCAGCCTGTTTGATTAAATAGGGCTGGAAGGGTCCAGGTGACACTTAACTGCCATATCGCTCTATACAAATACACCCCAATTCTCAGACACCTGAGTGCTCTTTTAGAACAAGTCTGACTATACCGTCACCCCCTCCCTGCAACACAAACTTAAAACTCTTCCCGATAAAGACCAATCTCCTGGCCAGAGCCCCCAGGCCCTGAGCACCTGGTCCCTCCCTCTCACCCCACTCCCACCTCCTCCCCTGACTTCCGGGACAGGCTGGCCTCGGGGGCAGACCCCAGGGGAGATGGGCTCCCTCCAGCACTGGGCATCCACTTCTGCCTGGGCCGTCACCCATGCCTACCCCCAACACAGCCTCGTTGATTCGTCCCTCTGCTGGTTCATCCTCCCTTCTTCAGAGAGACCCTTGCTGAGCCTGTGGGCCAAGCCACCACACCCAGTGACACCACCCTTAAGAACACAAGGCTCCTGCACGGTGAGCTCACTGCACTTGAAGTCACCTCCTCCAGGTCTGCCTGTTCACCGGGCTGAAGCTCCTGGAGCAGAGGGTCTGTTGGTCTCACTCAGCACCACTTCCCAGCGCCCAGAACAACCAGCTCCAGATACAGAGCCAGTGCTCAAAAAATATGGGATGAATGAATGATTTGATGAATGAATGAATGCCACCCGACTATGTCTGGAACCCGACGTCTCAGCCAACATGCCACCAATAATATATGATGTGGTCAGGGGTAAGTTGTGCTACCAATAATTTGGTTGTGTGTCATACATAGTTTAATGTGTGAGAGTTGGTTATGATTTTTTTAAAAACATCAGCAGCTCCAGGGTTGTCCCAACATTACTCTGACTGATTTGCATTCCTAGAAACTTCCTTGACAGGGAGAGAAGGGAGTGGAGTCACAGCTACTATGTTGGGGACTGCACACCATCCACGGTTTATTTTATCAGAATGTCGTAGGTGGGCGTATCGTGTGGGAGAGAGGCTTAGACATGATGAAGAGACCATTTCTTATGTTCATAGAAACCCAAGTAAGCGGCACTTCCCAGTGTCTCTGCCCAGGGTGACAGCAAAAGAGTTGTCCCCAGATGTCGTTTTTGCCTCCCCACCTCCAACTCATTCTTCAACCCACTCCAATCTGCCATTCGTCTTCACTAACTGAAATGACTTCTCACCACTAGCAGCCTCCCCCAAGTCACCCTGCCAAGTGGGTCCCCTCCATCCTACCCAACTTGGCCTCTGAGTGGTTCCTCCAGGCTGCTGTGGCTCCAGCCTCCTGGTCACTCCTGCTCACACCCTGGGGCTGCCAGGGCTCAGGCCCAGTCTTCTGCCCTTACCCATGTGCTCATCCAGTCCTGTGCTGAGACGCCCCAGGGACGTGTCCAGCTGGGAAGTATGAGATGACTTCCAGCAGCACACCCACAGTGTCCCGCAGGTATGTCAGACTTCGCCAGGCCAGGTGGGCAGTCTGGGTTTCCCCCAGACTCTCAGTCACCCCTAGCACAGTGCATCATCCCTACCCCATCCACAGGGCTGCCTAAGCCAGAACCTTCGAGTCCTCCACTTCCTCGCCCCTCACTTCCTGTCCCTCAGCAAGCTGGCCCACTACACTTCCAAACTCCCCTCAGAGTCGCCCACCTCCACAGGCTTCACCCAGTCCACTCTGCTACCACCTCCCGCGTGCAGGACTGCAGTGGCTTCTTGATGAATTTCCTTGATTCTTTCCTTTTGCTGTAACTTATTATCCATTCTGAGGTGAGAGCAAGTTTTTTAAAAAATATAAGTCACTCCCTTGCATAAAACTTTTTTTTTTTGGAGACAGTTTCTCGCTCTGTCACCCAGACTGGAGTGCAGTGGCACAATCATAACTAATGCAGCCTCCAACTCCTAGGCTCAAGCAATCCTCCTGCCTCAGCCTCCTGAGCAGCTGGGACTACAAGTGTGCACCACTAACATTTTTTATTTTTTGTAGAGACAGGGGCTCACTCTGTTACCCAGGCTGGTCTCAAACTTCTGGCCTCAAGTAACTCTCCTGCCTTGACCTCCCAAAGCACTAGGACTACAATAAACCTTTCCATGGCTTGCCATGGCACTGAAACAAAAATTTCAATTCCTTCCCATGACCAATAAAGGCCTGCACCACTCCACCCCTTCCCTCTGCTCTGCATTCCCCAGATTCTAGCCATAGTCCTCATGGTTCTGCAAACATACTAAGCATGTGCTACCTCAGGTCCTCTGTACTGGCTGGGCCCTCTGCCCACAATATTCCTCTTTCTGCTCTCCATAGATCAGCTCCTTCTTAACTGTCTGATCTCAGCTCAAATGTCACCACCTCAGTGAAGCCTTCCCTGATTACTCCATCTAAAATAGACACATCCCTCCCTAGCCTCATCTGTATTCTCAATTGTTGTACCTGGTTGGTGCAACAATAGTATTTTGTTCCTTTGTTTATCCTCTCTTCCTCACTTTGAATATTCATTCCAAGAGGGCAAACACTGTCTTTTTCACTCCTGTATCCCTGGGTTAATCTTAGAGCCCAATGGTCAGTGGGCATGCAATACTATTTACCCAGTGGTTGAATGAATGAGTGAAGCAAATTCCATAACCTTAATGCATCCTAAAGTTTGAAAACCCTAACTGCCGAGGGCTGTTTCTTTGGGTCCTCCTTAAATCCCTTGTTCTGCAGATCCAAGCTCTGCTCTTCAAAGGAACCTGTTCCCAGTTTAATCAGATGGCATCTGCCGTTGGCCGAGCTCCAGCTTCACAACTGGAATCTTCCCCGTACCCATCCCCCGACGGGAAGGGCAGCCCAGGCTGTACGGGCAGGTGTGCGTGCGGGTGCTGGGTCTGGCCTGAGCCAAGGAAGGACATAACCTTGGAGAGGGACATGGAGGCTGGGAGCTGGAGACCTGCCACCAGCTCAGCCAGCGCTCAGGGGAGAAATGGCAGATTTATTCGGCTGCGGGAAGCACCCAGGACCGAAATCAATACTGAGCCTTGGGGCTGTATTTCTGCTTTTCATTGGCTTACGCACAACTATAATAACTCCTTGTTTTAACATAGTTCTTATTTCCAAAGAGCCCCACATGTTTTATTTTCAGTTTAATGAATCCTAAAACATGTGCCACTGGTAGTCTGAGGCAGACATAACTATCACCGTTTTATGCTGAGGACAGGGGAGCAGAGAAAGGTTAGATGGATTGCTGAAGGTCACAGAAAAAGAGAAAGATGGCTCTGGTAGTGGAATATTCTAGGTAACCCCCCACCCCTCCCCCACTCATGGTGATATGCTGTCTAGAATTAGAATCACCCACTGGGTTCCATCCGATAAAAGAGGTGCCTGTAGTACCTTATCACCAGCCCAGGTTTATTTTTAGCTGCAAACTCCTATATAGCTACCTGCTACATAGCGTCTCCATTTCACTGTCTCACAGGCACGCTGAACTCAATGTGTCCAAAATTGAACGTTTGAGCTGCAACTCTCCCCCCACCACTGGTCAAACTTGCTCTCTTTCCTGTGTCCCC